GCTACGCAGCGGTCGTCACAGGGTTACACCTTCAGCCTTGGTTCCGGCCCTGTTTCGTGGCGGTCTACCCGCTCGTCTTCTGTTCTCGGCTCCAGTTGTGAGGCTGAGATCTACGCAGGGGCCATGGCTGCACAGGAGCTTCGCTGGCTCACCTACCTGCTGACTGACCTCGGAGAGCCGCCTCGTTCTCCTCCAGTTCTGTACGTAGACAACAAGGCCATGCTGGCCTTGTGTCGGGAGCATAGACTGGAGCACAGAACGAAGCACATTGCTCTTCGCTACTTCCTTGCTCGTGAGCTACAGAAGCGTGGTCAGCTGAACCTTGCTTACGTGGCCTCTTAGGCCAACACTGCTGATATCTTCACCAAGGCACTCACGCCTTGTGATCATCAGTGCTTCTGCACTCTGTTAGGTCTTGTGCCTATTTTGCCTCACTTGCTCACTTCTTGACCTTGCTTGTATTGTGATCTATCTATACCTGCCCTTGCTTGTTTACCTTATATATGATCTTGCATGTGAACTGGCCTTGTGGCCTTGAACTTGTGCTCGGAATGTGTGGTGACGTTGTGATCCACCCTAAGCTTGCTGTACTTTGCTTGACTGGTCTTGTGACCTCTTGTTCTCCCCCACTTTGCCTATGGGGGTGTGTCAAGTTTATATGCTATAGTCTATCTAGGCTGTAGTGGGGTAGACTATATGGGGTACAACTCTTTTAGGTTTTCATATTTGTACCCACCTTCCTGCTAGTTCATTCATTCCTCATTTCTTCACACGACCCCCCTCCCTCCCCCCAACCCTCCCTTCCCCCCCCGATCTCTCGCCACTCTACCAGCTCAGCCCCCCCTTCTATGCCCTCGCTCCTCTTCCAGGCCTAGTCGTGTCCAACCCTTCTCTCCCTTTCCCCAACCTGAGGTCTCTCCAGGTCTCGCTCCCAGCCTAGCCCGCTTTCATGCCCCTCGTAATGTCTCGCAGCCCAGCCCCCCCTTCCCTACGCGTCCCTCCACCTCCACCTACCCTGATCCCTCGCGTCGCAGCCCCTCATTGTCATGTGCGTGCCCCTCAATAGCCACACAGCTGTCAGCACCGCGCCAGGGGCGCGTTCATTAACAAAACAAGCGTGATTAGGTTGGACATTATAATTTTTGAAAGTGTAACACTTTCTCAAATTTTGTATTGTGAAAGGGGGTACATGGCCAACACAGCAAAGGTGGCGCCGAAGCGCTACTCACCCTCTTTTGCCTACAAAAGAGGGTCGTGAGGTCATTCGTCCTCACCCACGTTTTTCATTTCTAGTTGTAGTTTCATTTCCGTTCTCGTCCACACTGGCGAAGACTCAGTCGCTTCCGCGCTTCACTGCCCCGTCGACACTCCTTAACGACATCCTTAAGCGCAACCTCGCGAAGATGGCTCCGGTCAACCCGGCAATTAATCGCGACAACTCGAACATTTCAAGCCCCAATAACGCGGCGGAAACCGCAACTTCGGCCGGGACAAGGATCGTCGCGGAAAACGCTCGGCCGAAGAAATTTCAGGCGAGGGACCTTCGGCGGTCGACCTCCTGCTCGGAGGCACCCTTCGGACCTCCCCTGAGGAACGCGCGGCTGTTGTACAGTCGCGCGTGGCTGCTGCTGAAGAGCGCGTGCCTGGCAGGCACGCACGTGTTTGTCGTAAAACAGTAGCTTGATAGGAAGGTAAAAAGTAGGACGGCCTAGGCTTAGTAGCCTAGGCCAACTAGATCGAGTAGTTCGTGCCAAGGGTGTCGAGAGAATTGGGAATGAGTGGGTTTCACTATAGCACAAGAGTACATATAGCAAACAAATGAAGAGGTGCACCACCTACAAAGTTAATAACTACACTACACCTAGAACTACATGCAGGTACAATAAGAATATAATTCTGACATCCCCCCGTAACTGCATGCAGGAATAGCTAAGTGCAGAACACAACCTGCAAGGGTACACCACAGATAGAGAAAACAGCAACAGTAGGTACAGCAGGAAAGGGGCAGACACTCCTGCCACCCCTTTTCTCTCCCCCCACTCCAACTTCAGGAAGGGCGGCTGGTTGGTCTCACACCCGCCACCCCGGTGCCACTACCCCGGCTCCCCCCACACCCTCACACCCTCCCCCCAGCGGCAGCTGCAGCAGTGGGAACGAAAGGAGGAGGAGGGAAAGGGGAGCACACCACCCATCACCCCATACCCGCCACCCCCATACCCTCCCCCCCACGGCTGCAGGGAAACGAAGGAGGAGGGGGTGGGCGGGGAGAAAGCCGCAGAGCGGCTACTGATGGTTGGCGCGGGTAGGTCAGGGGCAGCTTCAGGGAGTGTAGGTGCGGGGTGGGGTAATGGCGGCTGCACCGAGTGCAGGAGCGAGGGCGACTGCTCCAAGGGCAGGCGCCGGGTGATGCAGGGGCGGCTGCAGCAAGTGCAGGCGCGAGTGAGACGCCGCCGAGTGCGCCAGGGGCTGGTACACGGCGGCTCAGGTAGGTAGGTAGGTAGTGCACCGTCGCACGCCACGGGGCGCACGACGGGTAGGGCACCGTCGCGTGCCATGGGGCGTACGACAGGCAGGGCACCGTCGTGTGACACGGGGCACGCGACGGGCAGTTCAGGTAGGTAGGTAGTGTAGTTCCCCGTCGCACGCCACGGGGCGCACGACGGGCAGGGTAGATGTCACTCGCCATCCTAGGGCGGGACATTAATGAGAAATTGCCACGCGACCTAGGCGCGCGACCGGTAAAGAACAGCAGCGGAAGCATACGGCGGGCCCACAGGCCAGGACGAAACTCGCTCTGATAGCATGTCGTAAAACAGTAGCTTGATAGGAAGGTCAAAAGTAGGACGGCCTAGGCTTAGTAGCCTAGGCCAGCTAGATCGAGTAGTTCGTGCCAAGGGTGTCGAGAGAATTGGGAATGAGTGGGTTTCACTATAGCACAAGAGTACATATAGCAAACAAATGAAGAGGTGCACCACCTACAAAGTTAATAACTACACTACAGCTAGAACTACATGCAGGTACAATAAGAATATAATTCTGACAGTGTTGCGCAGAAGACGACGGCCGCCGCTGACGCGGCAGCCGTCTTGACCGCCGCTGACTTGGGTCAACCCGGGCCCACGATCCAGAAGCGCCAGCGTGCGGCACCCTCCGCTGACGTCACCCCGGTCAACACCACCCCCCCCCCCTTGACTACACAGCAGCTGCAGGCATTACTCTCGATATTGCAGGAGCATGCACCATCAACTACAGCTACATCGACGGAAGACGTTTCTGCTTCTGCTAAAATTGAAAAACAGAAAGAACCTGTCGCGCCCCCCCTCTCCGCCAAGGTCGCTCGCGCCAACAACGCCGCTCCCGTTTCTGCCCCAGCTCCGGCACCTACCCAAGCCCGTGTCCCCGACGACAGCGACGACTCGGAAAATGACGACGGTGAGGCCCCCGACAACCTCGCCCGCCGTCGCATTCTCGCACCCGCACCCCCCCTCCCTCCCCTCAACCCCACACCCACAGCTACTACCTTCATGCGCAAGGGAGTGCGTGATCAGGCAGAGCTGTTTTCTGCAATTCAAGCTCACCTGAGGCACGTCGAGTTCAAGCTCCGACACGGCGACGTCGAGGGCGCGCTCGCCAATGTCGCGCAAATCAAAACGTTGGTCAACAAACGCTTCGAGGTGTTATTGGTGGCGGACGAAGTCGGCTTCGAGGCGGCGGATCGCTTCCAGCTATACCAAGCCAAGAGCGTGCTCACGTCTCGCTCCTACAAGCTCGCGGTAGCCGACGTGGCGGCCCTCAAGCGCGCGCGCACCGGCTTCGCTCGCGGAGGCCGCCTTCCCCTTCAAGATGGCGAACCGGAAAGCAAGGGCATGCCACCCGCGGCCTGCCACGAGCCCCGTTTCAAGGGCGTTTGTTTCCGCTGCGGCCAGCCCGGCCATATGGCAAACAATTGCCCTATGGGAGGGCGTGGCGCACAAGACCCCGCACCCGTGGTGTGAGGGGAGCTATGGGGCGGCGCCCCTTGCCACTATGCCGGGGGCGTAGGTGGATGCACCGGTGGTGCGTAGGCTAGTGGGAGGCCTTTATGTCAGATTATAATGCTTGTCTAGCCTGCAGTGGGGTACTCTGTAGTGAGTACGTCCCCTTAGGCTTTCCTATTTGTATCCCAACTGTTGCTTGTCAAACATCCTTTGCTCATTTCTCTCTTGCCTAGTTAGGTAAACCCTAGCTATGGCTCCTGCTGATGCCTACTATTTTGATACTTTAGAAGTAGCATATGCCAAAGGGCCATGGAATAAGGCAGCCGTAGGGGCTGGATATGGAATAGGCCTAGGCTATTATGCCTTGTGTGAAGTGATTAATAAAAGAGTTTCTTCACAAAAAAAAAAAAAAAAAAAAAAAAAAAAAAAAACCCAAGGGAGGGCAACAATGAATGTCCCAACTATCAAAAAGCCAGCCCCTCCTCTTAGAGGTGGCAATAAGGAAGGGAGGAGAGGCCAAATATGAGAGCTGAAGCAAGGGCAGAAACAAGAAAGCAAGGAGAGGGAGAAGTTAGAAAAAGAGAAAGGGAGAGCAAGAGAGAGAGAGAGAGAGAGAGAGAGAGAGAGAGAGAGAGAGAGAGAGAAAGAGAGAGAGAGAGAGAGAGAGAGAGAGCGAGAGAGAGAGAGAGAGAGAGAGAGAGAGAGAGAGAGAGAGAGAGAGATAGTATATAGTCCTTAGATGCACCCTTTTGAGCTCATTCTTCACTGCTGAGTTCAGTTTACTCCCCAAAACCGGCGGCTCGCGCCGGCCGCCTTCGGTGGCCGCCGCTCGCCAGCGCGGCCTTCGGCCGCGCGTGAGGGGAGACAAGGAAAAGGGACGACAAGGACTATAGCAGCAAGAGGTACAACATGCTGAGGTAGCATTCTACAACAACAGCAACACCCCCGGGCGTGACTACACCGCCATGGGGAAGCCCAAAGCCAGGCCTGCCTCTCAGGCGGCCGGTAAAGGGAAGGCACCAGCTACTCAACCAGGATCCAGCAAAGCCGCCCGTCCAACCAGCGTAGGACGGACGCGGCAGCGGCTACAAGGTCGAGAGGGTCCTCCTGGGCAGACTCGGCAAGCCGTGCCAAAGCTCCAGGGCCGGGCCCGAGGGCAGCCCCGGGGGAGCCCGGCACAAAGCCAATCAGCGGGAGGTAATGCTGCAACTCCTCCGCTGCCGCCACTGCCGCCGTCTGCTCCGCTGGCTGCATTGCCCCGATCTGCACCTCCTGCTGCACCAGAGTCACGTGAAGCTGGTCTAGCACGTACGACAAGAGCGTCAAGCAAGTCCCCACGTGCATCACGCGCTGCTCCACGAGAGTTGGAGGCTGACCAGGAACCACGGCTTGAGGGGGCGGCGGGGCAGGAGGCGTTACTGGAACCCATGGGTGCTGCACAGGGGGGCCTTGGAATGAGTACTGATGGAATGACGAGGGGCCCGACACAGACTGAGGGACCTGAGCGGGCGGAGGAGGGGACGGAGGAACATGGTACACCGAGGAGCGATGCTGCTGCGGATGGAGGGGCAAAGGAAACCGACGGAGCGGAGATTGAGCTAGAGGCGGCTGCGCCGCCCGCGGTGGCGGCTGGTGAGGAGTCTGGAGTCGCGGCTGCTGGAGTGCCTGCGGTCCTGGTGTCTGCTGGCGCCTCTGCCGCTGCCTTTGACGCCGGCTCAGTTTCGCCCTCTGCCACCCCGTGGGCTGCACAGGCGGAGGCTGAGGGGACGAGGCCGGGCGCGAGTCCGGAACAGACTGCGGAGGAGGCGCTATCCGCGTCACCGGCGCCGGTGTCGCCGGCCGTGCTGGCGGCGGCGGTGTCTGCTGCGACTGGGGTGCGAGGCGACGCCCCAACGGCGGAAGGCGCGACGACTGCCGCTGCGAACGTCGGAATGCCTGCTGCTGCCGCGGCCTCAAGGAGGCAGGAGCACGTCCAGGCTGAGGGAGAGACTCCGAGGCCCCCGAACGGCGCCGCCTCCAGCGCTGCACGAGTGATGTCGACGAGGAAGCCGCGGGCCCCAGCCAGCGCCGAGACGGCTCGGAGCAGGGCTGGGACCTGGCTCCCCGGGACCCCTCCTGGGCTGGCTTCTGCAAGGGCAACTGCCATCAGAGCGAGTGCATCGGTCGTCATTTGCGCACACGCAAGAGGCACGGGGGGTTTCTAGGCTCAATGAGGCGACAACAGAGGCAACAGCAACCCGTGTGGCAGAGCAGCCGGCGCCAAACCAGGACAGCGGAGCACACACGCACTCACCGTCAAGCCCAGTAGCTCCAACTGCGGCGGCCGTCGCCACTCGTCGCTCAGCTCGTTTGGGTGCTGTCACGTGGGGCCCACCAAGGGGAGGCAGAACGCCATGGATGCCGGCGGGGAGAGCGGGACTAGCGGCGACGCCTCAGCCAGCACTGGCGGCGAACCGGGGTTTCCGCGGTATGGATCGCGGGAGGCGAGGGGGAAGGCGCGGGGGTGTTGCTCGCTTGGGGGGAGCGGAGATCCAGGCACGAACAGGCCCTTGGCGGGAACGCCACGACCGCCCAGAGGTTTTGGAAGCCCCAGCCAATGGGGTCGACGCTGAGCCTGCTGAGGACATGGGGGACCCTGAGTTTATGTGTGGAGAGGAGGCGGGCCCGGAGTCCGAAGAGGTGTCTCTGGTTAACGAGGAGGATTTGGGAAGAGGCCGGAATCGAGTGCGAGGGACGGGAGAGGGAGTGGCCAGGGCGACATCCCAGGCTGAAGGAGTATCTATGCCAGCTCCCACGGTAACCAACGAAGTGAAATCGCCGGCCACCCTGGCAGAGGATGACGCCATCTGGCAAATGGCGGGCACGTGGACTATGGATCTCCTTCAACGGATGGACCAACCCTTCCTAGTCAGACGCTTACCACCCCAAGTGCTGGACAAATTCTGTTTGTGTCTCCTCGCACCTCTCCTGCGGCTGTCGACGAACCCAGAATGCCCAGGTGCTTGGGCGGTCCTACTATACCTCCCGAGGCTGACACTTCGCCCCCCACCAGAGCCTGTCACTGGAAGTCGGTGGGCAGCGATTGAGGCTCGGTTACATCAGTTCCAGCTGGGAGAGTGGGATGGGTTGTTCGAGGCAGCCTGCACTATCCCCGACACGGGGGGTCCGCTAAGGCATCAAGACGATGACGAAGGGGTTTGCGCAAGAGCGGAGGGTTTGGTTAAAAAAGGTAACATTTCGAAGGCGGTTGCGGCGTTACGCACAAGCCCCCTCGCCGACCCAAGCTCTGCGACCCTGGCTGCCCTACGGGCGAAACACCCACCGTCAAGCGCCCCAACACCAGCATGGGTTACCGGGATCACTGACTCTGAGCTCCGTATCCCACTCGAGGCTCTGCGCGAAATCCTCGCGAAATGCCCGAATGGGGTAGGGGCAGGGCCCTCAGGCAGCTGTTTTGAACACCTACGAGACCCAGCCCTAGCGAACGAGGAGATCCTCCTGTTGCTGACGAACGTGGTAAATCGCCTCGCCGGCTCTTTCCAGAGTCAATCAGTCCGCGACCTCCTACTCCCCTCTCGGCTCATAGCCTTGGAAAAGCCTGGGGGAGGAGTTAGACCAATCGCAATAGGCCAGGCGTTGCTCCGCGTGGTGGCTAAAGCGGCGCTGCACAGCTTAGGCCCGAAAATCCGGGAATTTTTCCTACCCGTACAGTTCGGCGTGGCGGTTCCTGGGGGAGCGGAGTGTATTATCCACGCGGTTCGTTCTCTCCTTAAGGACGACGAGACCCGCGTAGCTCTACAGCTCGATGTGGAAAACGCATTTAACAGTGTAGAACGCGCGTCATTCCTCTCCGCCCTCCAGTGGTCTACTCTCAACACGCTGCTCCCGCTTGTCACGAACCTCTACGATGGCTCCTCGCGGCTTCTTGTGGACCCCCGTCTGGAAGTGGAGCACATCGTAAGCTCCAGAGGTGTCCGCCAAGGGGATCCGCTGGGGCCTCTCCTTTTTGCGGCAGCAATCCAGCCGATACTACTCAGCGTGGCCACGAGCATACCGGAGGTGGCAATAGTAGCGTATGCCGACGACATCACCATCGTCGGGCCTCGCGAGGCGGCGTGCGTGGCTTTTAACACAGTAGTCACGGAGCTGGCTTCATGCGGATTACGTTGCAACCTTACCAAGTCCGCGGCGTGGTGGGCTTTGTGGGAGGAAGGAGGGGATGGTCTGCCACACGGTCTTCCTGTCCACCCAGGCGGCTTGAAGGTGTTGGGCAGCCCGGTTGGCGGCGACGCCTTCTGCACCGACCAGGTCCGCGGGACGCTAGCGGAGGTGGCGGCGCCGCTACATCTCGTCGCCCAACTCAACCCGCAGCACGCCTTACTCGTGCTATCTCGGAGCATCTCCCGCCGCATCTCGTACCTCTTACGCACAACACCAGCGGATTCACTGGCCCGTACGGAGTGGCGGGAGTGGAGCGAGGCACTGGTAGGAGCCGGGCTCGCGGCGTCAAAGCTTCGGATCCCGCCAAGTGAGCTAGAGCAGAGTCTGTTGTGGCGCCAAGCCACGCTCCCGGTGCGGCTAGGAGGTTTGGGAATCATTGACCCCATCTCCGAAGCCCCAGCAGCGTACCTAGCCTCAACTGCAGCGGCGCACCTTCTCCTGCAGCAGCTGAACCTGCCGCCAGATTACCTTCTTCACAAGGCCGGGAATCTCCTCTCCCCGACATGGGCCCCACCGCCCCCCCGGGCCAACCCGCTGGCACCGCTTGAGGCCAGGCTCCCAGCGCAGGCTGCAGCAGTCCTCCGCAGCTATAGGGAGAACCCGAAAGGCATGGGCAACCTGGAGCTGGGCCTGTCTAAGGCCATTAACCACACGCGGGCGGAAGAGCTGCTCGCAGATACGGTCACAGATAGGCCGGGGGTGGACAGGGGCCATGCAATTCGGCTAATTAGCTTGAAAGGAGTGGGAGCAGGTGACTGGCTCCATGCACTGCCAACGAGGGCTGACCTCTCAATCTCCCCTGGTCAGTTCTCCATGGCACTGGGCCTGCGCCTTGGCATGGAGTTACCGGTAGCGGAGGTTTGCCCCTGCAGGAGATCCAACTCCTCTACTGCTGACAAGAGCCTGCCGAACCATCTGCTCCGTTGTGCCGACGGCGGGGATGCGGTGCGCACCCACAACGCCCTGGTTTTTGCAGCCCTCCGCATGGCGCAGGAAGCAGGGTATAGGACCTTCCACGAGACGACTGCCTTCTCTCCCCCTGTAGCGAGTAAGCGAGCGGACCTCACCGTTCGGGACCCGGAATCAGGGGAGACCTGGGTGACAGACGTGACAGTCACGGACCCGGTCCTGCAGAGGAGGGATGTGAGGGCACGGAAGCCGCCAGGATGGGCAGCGGAGGAGGCGTCGCAGACAAAACATCGGCTCTACGTAGGGCGCCCTGGATACGTCGGCTTCTTTGGTTTGGCAGTTGAGACCTATGGGGCCCTGGCGGCCGACACCCAGCAGTTCCTCCGTATGCTAGCCAACTATGCGGCACGGAAGAAATACCGCCAGGGGCGCCTCACCACCACTGCCGCCCGCCTTAATGCACACTACAGGCAGCGGTGGTCGGTCATGCTTCAGCGCAGCCAGGCGACTTCACTCCTATCTAAGTCGAACAGGGCGGCCGAGGCGGCATTCCCACAGGCGCCGACAGACCCCTGGGCCCCCCGGCTGGGGGACCTCTGGCAAATGCAAGAGGATGAGTACGAGGAGCGTCAAGCCCCTGCCAGAACGGCTTAGAGGGCGGGGAGGGAGTGGGAGTGGGGGAGGTTTAGCCGGACGACGGCAGGAAGCTGCGTATGGGGAAAGGGACTGTGGACAGAGAGGCAGGATCAGTAGGGGGAGTCCAGAAGCAGGAGGACTGTAGGGACAGGGTTTGGTGGCCTTGGTACTGGCAGGCTCGTTCGTCCTAGTGTGTGGTGGCCTGTTTCAACATCTGGAGAGCTGGTTCTCTGTGTTTTGCTAGTTGTTCGTTTGCCTAGCTTGCTGGTCTCGCTATGTTGGACTCACGATTGCTTGCACGTTTAGACCAAGTGGTAGCTCCTTGCTTGTACCTTGCGAACCATGTCAATACATGACTGCTTGAGAGAGAGAGGGAGAGAGGGAGGGAGAGAGAGGGACAGAGAGAGAGGGAGAGAGAAAGAGAGAGAGCGAGAGAGAGAGAGAGAGGGAGAGAGAGAGAGAGAGAGAGAGAGAGAGGGAGAGAGAGAGAGAGAGAGAGAGAGAGAGAGAGAGAGAGAGAGAGGGAGAAGTGGCCAGCCGTTAAAGGAAATACGGCGGGAGAAGCCATGGGACCAAGTGAGGCACATGCGTCGTTGCGCTCTTTGTGAGGCGATTCCAAAAAAAAAAAAAAAAAAAAACGCACACCAACAACAACAACAACAACAACAACACCGCACATACACTCAAGCCACAACCTAGACAGAGGTTTTATGGCTGACTTGTGGCCAGTAGTGGGGGGGAAGCGGGGGGAAGGAGGGTGATATAGTTCCCCTACACATCGCCCCGCCGGATCCGTGTTTAATCCGCCTCGTCATTTTCCCCTCTATTCAACCTTGGTTGCCCGCCACTTGCAGAAGCTGGCGGCGAGTGGCAAGACGTCAGTTGGGACCCATACACGCACGCAATAACGGACAACATGGTGTCCGTCATGCGAAGGTGACTGCACAACAGCCTGCACTGGTGGCTCTCTTGGTGCGACAGCAGCTTCATCCTTTCCATCATTGCCAAAGGGTATTGGTTACCATGGAAGGGCGAGGAGCCCATCCCTTTCGAGGCCCCCAATCACGCAGGAGTGCAAGCACATATGACCTTCACCCAAGGTGCTGTCCGCGACCTCATCACTTCGGGTGCCGCACTCAAAGTTTTGTCAAAGGCCACATAGGCATGCAACAGTCCGCTCAATGTAGTAGAGCAACGGGACAAATGCCGCCTCATACTTGACCTACGAAAGGTCAACTCCCATCTTCAAGTGCCCAAGTTTAAGTACGTAGGCTTAGCCCGAGTTGCAGAAATTATCCGCCCAAACGACTGGCTATTTACAATTGATTTGAAGTCAGGATACCACCATGTTGACATTCACCCATCCTGCTGGAAGTTCTTGGGATTTCAATTTGAGGGAGAATT